TTTTCAGGTGCGGTGTTGGTCCTCTTTGACCGGTCACCAGCCAAGAAAACTCTTCTTGCTGATTGACACAATCTGTACCCTCCCCAGCTGGTTACAGACTCACTTACCGGTCAGAGAGATTCCTCCAGAATCCATCTTGGTCAGTAGGTGAGTCTGCACCAACAAGCCGAGAACTTAATACAAAGGGAAAAAATGGGCTGGAGGGCCCGGTCGGCCATAGAATTGGGAAGTAATTGACTCCCAACTCAAACGACCCTCTACAGACGGTCCTTGGGACTTGTCAGCTAGAAGAAGCAAGCCGGTTTTTAAGCCGCTTGAATGGTTTCCCTATGATATATCAAAACCCCGGGGTTCTGGGGTTTTGCATAGTGCCATCCCGAGTCCTGAACCCCGGGGTTTGGATTCGGGCAAAACCCTGAACCCCGCGGTTTGGGGTCATGCCTTAATCTTGATGTCCTCCTCATAGGAAGAGTCAGGTTTCAAGAAATCTTACTGACTACTCCCTGTGCTTTTTGTTACAGGTTAATGATTGAATTACCGCAAATTATCACTTCAACCATCCACCAAACTTTATCATAAATCACAGCACAGCCTCCAGTTTAGTAGCATGGAGGCTGGCACATACCATCTGGAGCCACCAGATGAATTTCCAACCATTTAACTTATCAGAAACTTAAGTTTGAACAAGCAAAATGAACAATCAAATAAAAAAAATATCAATGATGAATGGAAACACACCTTAACAATGAGAACCCACTCTACCTAAACAGGTTTGTTGCACAAATGCCGCCAGGATTGTCTGTAGAAAGACTCTGAAATGGAATTTGTTATGCCTCATCTTTTGGTCCACAGCTCAAAGGATATTGCTCAGCAGTGTTTTTTTTTGATTTTGTGGATTCATTCTGATAGGTATTCACTTTAGGTTGAAGTGGTAATACGTGTAGCCATTGATGTCCTCAGAGGGTATAACTATTTCTGAAGAGGAGGATTCAGGATTGGCAGTTATTGGAGGTTCAAACACCCATCTGTTCTCATGGTCACAGGGATCCCTTTGCTCATACACACATTGCTTGTTTTTGACGGTTAATGCTTGGCAATTGGTGTCTTTACATCTATAGTAGTACTTTATACGTTGGGCTTTACACAAGACACCTTCTGCCAATTGTTCACCACAGTCATCTTTCTCAGGGCGTCCTTGTCTGTCCATGATCTGTACTGCACCAGGTATTTTCTTTTTGCAAGCTTCACATGGGATCTTACTGGGACCAGCCAGGAAAGCTGGGATGAGGGCTATTGGAATTCCAAGTATAAAGATCTTGAGATTCATTTTGAGATTGCCAGGTGGGAAATGAGTAGCTTTCAGTGGGGATTGAACCAGTTTTGCCTGTCTTGTTTGGAGTAGCAAGTGAGCAAAGTATGTTACACCTGTTTGAGCTATACATACAAGCAGTGTTAGATCTTACCCATGAGCAATATTTATATCAGCAGTTGCTTTGCTGTCAGATGAATGAAAAACCGGTCAAATCAACAGCACCTGAAGCTTCAACACACAAAATCAAGAATTGGATCAATGACTGTCAATAGTTGTAGAAATTGAAGCAACCATGTAGACCAACATGGAAACACACAGATACTCAAGTGACTTGTGAGCTTTAAATTTCTGATACCATAATCCATTGGTTCAGTAATCAAAGATATGTATCAAAACTATGCACAGTACTTTATGAAATTGATTTTTTACTGTTAGATAGATAAACAGTGCAAGGAAAAGTTGTGCCACTGTTTGCAGTGGACATGTGATTTTACAAAGGTGCCTTTGTAATATCCCATTTGAACTTCAAAAATTTGTGTGACTTTTTCTTCCAGTGAAAAATGGAAATATATCAGAGTGAATGGGAATTCAGCATATGACGTCTCAATTTCATTTCTATTTGTGATAATTGAATAACACTTCAGAATATCCAAGGATCAAAATAACAATGGTCCAACTGATCCCAATCAGTAAACAGATACTGCTCCGCCGGACTAGAGATGGCCTGGGGGTACCTGGCACCCGCCAGCAGATATCCCTCTATACCTGATGGTACCTGCCAAGTGGTGCCGGGTGTGACACTTGGTGTCCGCTTTTGGGCAAAAAACCAGGCAGTACCTGGGTACCTCTAAGGGTACCCACCCCCAAACCCCCTCCTCAGTGGCTCCTTGTTGACATAATGGATACTCTGATCATCTGTTTTTGATTATGAATCCCGACAACAATGCTGGTCCAAAGCTGAATAAAATTCCAAATGATTTACTACATCTTGGAGTTTATTGATGAATATTACAAACCAATCTTAGTGAGGTTCCTGGGAATCTGGGGAAGTTATCAACTTTTTGTAATCTAGATGTGTCCTTTGTCACGATTTTGGAAGCCCAGCTTCAGCCTTGTATTCAAGAGTGCCTTGTAGGCACATTCAATAACAAGAACTGGTTGAAGATCCGGGGAATAGTCCCCAAAAAGAAATTCAACACCTGGATGAGTCAAGTAAACTAAAAACGCAAATATTCCCTCTTGTCCTGACTGAAGATACCCACTCCCTCATCCTTTTCATTCCTTCCATCAAGTTTCTGGAGATTTATTTTTATAATTTCACAATGAAAGTTGTTTGGGTCAAAATTATTGATTGCTCAATTGTAGTCAAAATTTATGATGGGTTTTTCCATTTCATTAATCTTGAAAAATACTCAAAATGGATGAATTTCCATCAATATCTGTGGCAATGGTGGGCCAGTTACACTAACCATAGTGTTAGTGTAGCAAAATTCCGCTAAACTTTAGTGTAGCGTAGCGGAATTCTGCCACATCTTGCACTAACACTACACGCATAGGCCCCAAAAAAGCGGCCCACTACACTATGCTCACACGCTGGTTAGCGGTTTTTTGGC